ATATATCAAAACAATGTCAGGAAACATTAAACAAGCACCTGTTCATCAACAAGCCTTGCCAAAAATTGGAACAATCATTTAAATATTTACAGAAATCTGTAGCTTAGGTCCAGCACATGCACAACACTTAATAATCTGGTAATGCACTGACTATTGTCCAGCAGATTAACAGCAAGACTGTTCGAAATCCTGATTTCTAACATTGGCTGTTTCTAATCAGCCGGCAACACAAATAGGTTCCGAGGAAAGTAGTCACAGGTCCGTATCCCTCCGCTCCTTGTTAAATATTGGAAATTTTAAGTTCGATTTAAATTGCATTAGCATTATCTAATTGAAATTTGTTTGTTTAAAAACCATCTCACTATTAGTCTAAGTAATTTTGTTAAGTTTGGCTGAAATGCGTTCAGCCGTTATTGAGTGATGTTTCTTTATTTGTTGCATTGAAGTTTATCCCAAAGAGCTTCGCTCGCTCCGCATTGACAGTAGCTGCTTAAATAGTATTTTCTCTTTGTACCATTTTTTACAGCCAAAATGTCGTGTTATTTTCAATAATGTTACCAAACCAGTGCGCTAAAGTCCGTAATATAGGCAGGTGCAAATAATTTGTCAAGGTGGGTACCATTTTAGACAAAGTTTCTATGTTTGGATTTTATTAGACACGATAAGAGCAGATATTTCTACATAAATATTTGATATGTGTAGTATAATATTATAAAATATAGGCAAAAGTGGTGAAAAAGGCAGACACTAACCCGTGCAAGTGATATAAGATAGTTCAATAAGAAATAATTTAAGAATTGCTGTGATAAAAGGACTTTCCACTGATTTCGTAATGGGACGTTATATTGCAAAACATGACATGATAAAGAAGGAAATCAATTTTAAAATCTGAAAATAACATTGCAAATATTTATTCGGTAGAATTCAGTAACTCCCAATAAATGTGTGTTGTTTGAAATACAATTTAAAAATGAACAGCTGTTTCATTAAAAAGTATTATTCACGTGGCCAAAATGTAAACAGCTCTGTGGAGGGATCTTTAAAGGCTTCTGGGGCAGAGTCCTAAGGGATTTTGATTAGTCTTTCTTTTAATACCTAACTCATCTACAGACCAAGACGTTTCTTTGGACACCCCTACCAAGTTTGGGTCTCTAAATCAAACGTACAAAAATAGTATATTTCGTATCTAGGGCCGAAAGTGAGGTTTTGCCGACTCGAGATCGGGTTTTTAGTTCGAGACGAATTCGAGAACGTGAAACGATCGAGAGCTGCAAACACATTTTGGCTCGTGGTACGAACGCTATTTTTCACCCAAGTATGTTTTGCAATATAACGTCCCTCTTATTTATGTGAAATATTTTGAGGAATCAGCAAAATCAAAAATAACAATAAATAGTTGTCTAGGCAGCTGTGACAAAAAACAAGTCTATTGCAATGCCATGGATACAGCTTGTGCATTTAATATACATTAATGTTTTAAGTAAATAGGCGAACAAGTAATTTTGCGGCCCTAGGGATGTAAATCCCTGCTCGGTCCCCATATGACGATGACAGCTGGCATGGCCAGCAAAACGTAACTTTCAGCCACCAATATAAACCAGCTAAATGTATGTAAAACAGCTAAAAACATCAGAGTGAGGTGAAAAATTCGTTACGCATACTTTTACATTACCATGAATTAATTATATGCATACAGAAAAAACGGAGTCATACTTATTGCGTATTTTAATGTAAACTAGTGGCTTGAAGGGACATAGTCCCTAAAAAGCTTAAACGGAAAAGGAATTATTGTTGGAATATTTAAACAAACTCAGAATCAAATTATCTATATGTCAGGATAGGCCTAGATATCCCACAACAACATATCTTTTGTGCAAAAAAACAAAACAGTTTGTTGTTTGTCTTTGTTTGCTTTTGTTGATAACGTTATGTTCAATAAAGAATTTGAATGATTCCAGAGGTTTAACTGCTAAAGGCAGCAAACATGTTTATGAATAAATATTGGTTTATTAAGGTAGCTTTGGTTTTTTGGTTAATGCTGATAACAAGGCTTCCCCGATTGAAATACAGTATTGGAAATTGTCTTCGTCAAATAAGAAAAGGCAAAAAATTGTGTGTTGAGATACTCTACCCAGTTATTATTTCTAAGTCTACAGTATGCTCATTTTGTAAAGGTTTAACAAAATTATTCTTAAGTAAAGGCATCCCATTGACAGAACTTGGACCTAAATTTGTTTGTGATCAACATTAAAAACCACTATTAGCCTAGTGTAAGTATATGTGGTGTTAATCCTCCTAAAGGTGCGATTGGTTTACATATTCTACCAAAAAAGGGCCTAGTCAACGTCTAATTACTAACTATTTTGCGGCTAGTTAGGGTTCCATTACCCAGTTATCGAAACTAATCACGACATAAATATTTTTGGTTCGTTTAAATACCTGTACGAACCTACTTCATCTCTATCCCCAAATTGTTTTCTAAGAGTAACCGTTGAGGTTATTCCACTTCATAAAAAATATTGATTAAACACTCCAATAAATCTCAAATATAAATGTTAGTAAATTAAAAAAAAATGGAATAAATCTTTTACATATGTTTTGAAATAAAAACAAAGAAGATCTTCTTTTAATCTTGAATCGTTTCTTAAATCTTGAAAACAATTTATTTCAACTTTGACATAACTAAAAAGTCTTGATTATTAAAGGTATCGTTATCCCTTTATATAGTTGGTTTTATATAGTATACATTACATTGCATAATTGACTGGCAAATGAGTAATCCAAATGTAAGCTTACTTGCTAATGATAAAATCACGATCAGCTGGATTGATGTAAACAAAAATCAGCAGTAAATGCCTTCTAATGCTATTCTTATGGAGAACATTGTACGTTATATCTAATTTTGTGTTAAGATTTTGGGAATTTCACTATTTTCCCGCCGTCACGGGATAAAGACCTTTAATTTGAGCCCTCTCACGTCGTTCTACGACTTCCCAGTCGCCCACAATTTTGACGCAAAGAATCGGCTTACGTAATTAATATATAGATAGAATAGATTTCTTGTATATTCCCATGAAACTGATAATGTACCCAGCACATTAAGGCCTTTATTCCAAGTATCTCAGTTCGTAAACCATACATACAATGTGACGATAAAATATCAACAAAATAGCATGTAGTTTTATGTAATCCTCACGACATTTCATTTGGTCCATTGACTTTAAATCCAATAATTGTAAAAATTATTGGAGCTTTGAAAAAAACTTCATATAAAATCCTTACACTAATAAAATACGACGTCATGAGCGCGAGAAATGAGCTACAGCGGCTAGGGCATAGCCACATGAATACAGAACGGAATGAAGGAACTAGAACGGAGAACTGGCAACAGCGCACGCAAGAAGTAGGGGGGGCGCACACACCGCTCAAGCACTACAACGCATTAGTGGCATCCTGTCCACACACTGTTGATATATACCGATTTGTGGCATGGTGCCACAATTTAAAAACTGGAATGTTAGATGTTAAAATGGAGTGTTCATTAAAAATATCGATGCAGACATGTTTCTACCGCCTTCCTTCATCCACTGGTGGCCGCAGGTTGAAAGATGCCACAATTAGGTGTTTGCGAGTATTCGGTAAAACCCCGTATGTGTGTGTGTGTCTGTGTGTCTGGATGTGTACAGAGCTAGGGACTACACCTGTGGTCCGATTTCGATGAAATTTGGTATATAGGTTCTAATCCATGGTATCTCCAGGCGTTTTTTTCATTTTTTTGAAATTTTGATTTTTAATGGGGATTTTCCCATAAAAACCCATAAAAAACAGGGAAAATTGGATTTTCTCAAAAATGGCCCGAACGATTTTGATAAAAATTTAGTATGTTGTAGCCCTTTAAATTTTGAACAAAATAGTACAAACTCCATTTCTCTAAAAATTACGGTTCAAAAGTTATGGTAAATTATGTTATTTTCCCATAAAAACCCCGTAAAATAACAAAAAATAGGATTTTTGAAAAAAAATCCTGTTTTAATTTAACATAGTATGTTATGGTCCTTAAAGTTTTGATAGTTTTTTCATTAAAAAAAAATAATTTTTTATGGGAATTTTCCCATAAAACCCCATAAAATAACGGAAAAATAGGATTTTCCCAAAAAACGGCCCGAACAATTTTGATAAAAATTTGGTATGTTATTGTCCTTTATATTCTAAACAAAATGGTACAAATCCCATTTTTGTAAAAATTACGGTTCAAAAGTTAATGTAAATTATGTTATTTTCCCATAAAAACCCCCATAAAATAACGGAAAAATCGGATTTTCACAAAACTGGCCCAAAACGATTTTGATAAACATTTTGTATGTAGTCCTTTAAATTCTTAACAAGATTATACTAATCCCAATTCCGTATATTTACTCTCCCCGCTTACACAATATGATAAAGGTTGTTGACAATCTTATGGGAGAAAGTATGTGTCAGAATGCTGATACCGTTTATCTCCATATACTATGGTATAGGGGGATAAAGTAAAAATACAAAACCGAATTGACCTACGCAATCTTTGATAGATTCATTGAATAGCAAAATGTACCAACTTAATTTATTCATAGGCATTCGAATCTTGTTATTCGAGAAACGGCCACACCATTGAATTAACGAAGGTACTAACTGACATTTCTTTTTCAACAGCAACCTATTTTGAAGCAAACTGCAGTCCAATTCAGTTAAATTACAGTTTATTTTGAAGTTAAACTGTCTTTTTTCCTCAGAGATGGATTTGTGATACGCATTCAAACCTCCACCAGTACTGTCTTCTGATCAAGAACTCGATCGACTCCCGATGGTAAAAGTTCGACCGTCTACTTTGGGTACTTACGTATTAGGCCGACCACACCTAATAATTATAACCTAACCTAATAGTAGTTAGGTTAGGTTAGAAATATTTGTTATCTAAACTAATTAAAATCATTTTTTGGAAGTCAATTTATCCGTGTAGTACGATATAACACATAAGTACCCAAAGTAGACTGTCGGACTTTGACTTGGAATTGATCATGTTCTTGACCACGGGACAGTACTGGTGGAGGTTTGTTGCACAAATCCATCTCTTGGAATATAAACAGGCTAAATTAAATTTTCCTTCAAAACACTTCTAAGCGAGATACGCTCCGCCATAAGGCCCGAGCTTGTTGTAGAAAGGGTTTGGCGGCAGTGAACACAGCTGTTGTGTGACACAACGGTTTGGTAGCTTCATGGGCAAAACGTAGAAGTCCTGGTCAGGTAGGTTCTTGTCCTTGATAATCTCCTCGATCTTCCTCAGGCATGAGAGACCGAGGGGGGCGCAGTTAGAGGAGGCACCGAACACATATGGATCAAACGGCTCTGGAAATAATGCAAGATTGAAATTACAGTCGTAGGAAAGATATGTGAACAAGAATAGAAATATGTTGGTCTCTGATGGAAGGACAATATAATTAAAGGATGTAAACTTAGCTAAGAAATATTTTAACCTAAATATGACAGATGTGTTGAATAGCGTATCTTTTTTTTGGCTTTGTTACTAGCTAATACCACATTTAGCCAGGACCTTTTTAAAAGTCAAATGCTTAAGAGCTAGATCCAGAAAGACCATCAAAAAGCTATCACTTACCAAAATCACGCCTACGATCTTCCATCAGGCAAGGCCATTACAATTTCAGCTATTCAAATATATGTTCACTTGATCATTTGCAGGTTTTAGAAACACGGTGGTATGAAATATATACACTTTTCTTCATATTATGATTAATGAAATATATACACTTTTCTTCATATGATTAAAAAGACCACAATTTTCTTCAGTATTTTCTTCATCCAAATTAGTGCTAAATTTACCTTTTATAACTCTTTTAGCAAGGTCTATGTAGTTTTTAACTAAACTCTCGTTTAACTTTGATGTATATTACCTCTAAAAATGACCCTTTTGCATTGTATCGTTATGCTTTTTTGAATTTTTGGTATAATGAAAACAAAAACTTTAAATTTACCAAAATTTCTTATCCCTCATTCCCAAACACTATGGCAAAAAATATTTAATCTTTTAACCTTTTTATTTATTGACTAGTTAGAACAATGAGTCTCTAGAAATTATCAAAAACTGTGTGGTCACTTTAAAGTTTTGTTTGTCAAGGTTTTTAGTGGATTTATTGACTCCGTGTAATATGAATGCGAGTACATGGTAATAATTAGACTCATAAAAAGTTATTGTTTACCTACCAACTATTAATTTGTTTAAATATTCAGTAGAAGTCTAAAAGCCTCACCTCCAAACGCTGAGCAACGATATACAACATTTGTGTCACAGCCTGCATATGCAACAATGTGATCTTGCACTATCTGGAATGGATCTAGAAAATAATAGAGAACATTCAATAGGAAAATGTAAGTTAAGTCTTCAATTAAGTTCCACAACCTTTTTCAAAAATGTATGTTAATGTCTTTAATACTTTTACTTCAATACAACACACTTTAGTTATAACACGAGCTGGTAATTACTATTATTATTATTGTTACTATGTGTATGGTTAATAATTGTAATATCGTTAATTTCTGTTTGTAGCCATTTTCCTATTTTCATGACTAAGCTCAAAATTACATATAAAATTAAAAGTAACGTCATTTAATTGAAGTCTTACTTGCTTTCCGGTTCACCCCTTTCGAAACCGGTCCCTGTACATATGTGGTAACGTCATTGGAACCGTCACAGCTTGAAATGGAAAAAATAAAATTAATCAGAAGGAAACACATAGCTTGTTAACTAGTATACTTAATTTACCTTCAACTTATGCTTGGTTGTGGATGTTATAATCTATATATTAATAGGCAAGCATGTTTCTTTAAAACCTTTTTTCTCAGCTCGTGTGCATCGTGGGGTAAATCTACGCATACCGTTAGACAGCTATTTTCCTGTAGGTGTGCAGAATCCCTTTATAAATTTAAATAGGCTCAAAGATAAGCACAAAAAATTAGTTTAAAAATTTGAAAAAATTAACATGGATCTTATGCGTTGCCATGCTGGTGACGAAATAACAACGAAATATAAACAGAAAATCAAAACAAATGGATGAAACTCCAATCACATGTTTTATTTACAGTGTGGGGTGAAAATAGAGAAGTGAGTAAGTTTACATTACATATTTTTGGTCGAGTTTCGACCACTGGACGACCTCTCGTTTAATTTATTTCACGGGGTGAGTTTATGTAACTGATAACTGATGACACTTAAAACTAAAATCTTCCACACCACACAAACCACCAGTTCAGATATTTAAAAAAATATGGTCTAAGATTCTCATGGGTATACATCCAGTGGTGTACAAAATGCTAAGATATATTACAGACTTTAACAGGTTGAACATTTTACCATTCTACCAACAGTTTCCAATAAATTATGTAAGCCAAACAATGTTTTATGAAAGGAATTAGCCACCACCACAGTTTGGTGGCTACGACAATATTGATTTTAATTTGAGAATTTGTGAATGTTAGAACATAATTTATAAATAATTTTCGTGATTTATGGTAGCACTTCTACAAAAAAATATTCTGGTCTTATGTCTTTTACTCCACACAATTTACAATTAACACAACCCTATAAGAGACATTACAATGGTGTGTATACTTACAATACCCTCGACACATAAAGTGTATTAGCATTTGGCTCGTCTGGAAGTGGAAAGTACGTTATACAGATGTTGTCTATAAGGACGTTCTCGGAAGTTTTGGGCAACAGATTCAGAAAAATGGGTTGATGGCAGTTGAACTAGAAGAGCAAGATGAGCTTTTTTAGGAGCACACTATGATATAATTTTTAATGTATTTAAATGAGAAGTATAACAAATATCTAGTAAGCCAAAATAAAATCTAAATAATATGTAAACAAACAGAATGGTATTTATTTGTGACGTGGTTTTAGGGCGGGACAAGGCTAAATGTAAAAAAATTAACTGAACCAAAATTACAAAATTTGAGCTGAAGCTAAAAACAAATATAACATCAATTCAAATTTTTATTCATCTGAAATATTTTAAGTTGTTATTTGTAGTCAGAAAACCCTTAAACTTTGAGTCAAGTGTATCAGAAATTGTTTTGGATAGTAAATAATTTGTCTTCCTCACGAAAGTATTACTGAAGTGAGTCACCATGTACAGTTAAAAAGTTTTATAACAGTAAAAAGCTATTTTATTGGTTATTTTATGACTGAAAAATAATAAATTTACATCAATGTAGGTATTAACAGTCGAATTAACAATGCTTTAAGCCAAATAACTATCTTATCTTACCCTTTATGAATAGTATTTTATATACTAAAATTCCCTTTTACAATAAATATAACACCTATTTATAAAGTAATGATTGGCTTTGGCACGAGATCTTTTAATGTTTTTTTTTTTATGTTATAGTTATAGCTCTGAACATTTTAGAGACTATTTCTATAAAATTGTAATAATTATATGATATTATGATCTACCTTTTTTCAATCAAGCCTAAGAACTATTGTTAAAATAACTAGTTTTATATAGGGTATACTCACAAACGTTGGGCTTTCATCAATAGTGTCGACCTTCATACATTGTTTGATTGCCTGAGACAGTCCAAGGAGGAATAAAACTAAGAGACACCTCATGTTTTGCTGTAACAGAGATAATTGAGGATTTTATTTACTTGAATAGTAATGATTGTTGGGGAAAGCAATGACTAAAGATTAATATTTTTTTTATTATATAAAGTCAAGTACGTAGTGTCTTTCATGAACACACGTTTGACGTTCTACTTGATACAATTTCCAGAGCATATTCTTGATAAGATAAAAGTTCATTGACATAATGAAGTGTGTGTGGGTGTGTGTGTGTGTGTATACGTCCGTGAACGCGATATCTTAAGTAATTTTTGTCCAATTTTGATTAAACTTAGTATAAAGGTGTAATGAAGTATAACCTTGAATGAGTTTGCGAACCAGCATGATCGGACCATGGGAAAGGGGTTTTACGGGAGGTTTTATGGGGTAAAAAATTGTTTTTCTCATCTTTGACCTTGAAAACACGAAATTTCTCAATTTGAATGGAATTCTCAAATGGAAATTCGCTTAGTCTGTAGGTTTGCTGCGGCGGGAGTATTTAGGTTAGAAGAATGGTTATAATACTAAAAGGTAAAAAAAATATGAAATATACATAAGCAATTTTTAATTGTTATAGTCCCTTTATTTTCCATGCGTTAGTAGGTATTGTGAATTCAATTAACAAAATACGTTGTGCTATAACAGGGTGACTGCCAAAGCAGATTAACTGACAAGAATGTTGAATGTTATTCATCAGGCTTAAATTAACTGTCTTGTTCCATTCCTGTAGAGGAATATAAACAACTCAAAACTTTGAATATAAATGTTCGATATATCAATCTGAATTAAAAATATACCATATTAAAATACTCATAATTAAATACACTTTTAACACAATACAATTGCAAGACAGTTCTCATAGTAAAACCGTAAAGAAGTATAATTCTGATTCCCATATAGTGAATTATACTATAGTTCGGCCGCTTAGAAAACGACCTGCGCGCTAATGCTAAAACAATGCTGGAGGAGGTCGCTTTCTAAGCGGCCGAACTATAGTCTTAGAATAAAAAGGTACTGAGTGTGTGCACTTTACCAACTAGAGTGGTGCTGAAAATGTAATTTCTTTTAACAAATTTCCCATATAGGGGTATTTCTACATAAACTTGTTAAACGTCCCGCAATGAAAGACAACTCATTATAAACTGTGGCAACTTTTTTTCTAACTCGTAGGAAGATCAGCCTTTTCACATCAACTATCTTAGTATAGAGAAACTGTATCAGCAAACTGACACATACTTTCTCCCATTAGATCCTTCGCAATTTCAAATCATTTGGGGTTTTACAATTTTTTAGAACCTTAAAATACTATATTAGAATCAAAATCGGTTAAGGTGTTTTTGCTAAAACCCGTTTTTCTGATAGTTTTTAACCATTTATAAAATCACAATTGTATGTGAAAATTGTGAAATTAAAAAAAATAATAAAAAGCGCATTAAAATACCAGGGATTAGTGGTGTGGATCACACACACGACACTTCGAAACTCAACTTTTTAAGATTAAGGGGACTTAAATAAGACAATGGTACCTGTTGATCGAATTCGAGCAATTGCTAAGTAAAAGTAAAAATGAAAACCTATAAAACAGCTTTAATAGTAGAGTACTCGAAGACAAGCTCAATTAACAATGCTCCGTTAGAGTAAAAATGGCTAGGCTATAGCTTATTCGTACTAATAGGATAACTACTTTAGTATGCAAAGTCGTGGGTGGGGGGGGAGCGAGCTGATTAGAGCGCAGGACTCCGGTTCCTGGGGTCCTGGGTTCAAATCCCGCCAAATCGCCAATGGATTTTATCTAAGTGATAATGGCGTAACCCCTAGGTCTAGCCTGAAGTAATGTGAAAAACAATTCCGGGCTCGTGCCTAGCGTCCTAGGACAAAAAAGTAAGCAAAGTCGATGATTTGTCTGAGCTCCACATATTGATCAATAAGTCAACAAGAGAAGTTGGTTCACCAATTATATAATTTTCAAATACATTTGATAAGATAAATGCACACTATTAAAATACTCGTACATCCTTTGTTGACCAACCATAATTAAAGGGAAAAGTAAACGTAGTATTCGTCACTGATAGAGAATATTTTATGTGTACTGTTCAAAGCTCAAAATACACCTATAAAGTAAACTCACCTCTTTGAACTAGACGAGGTGACTGCTCGATAACAGTAGTAGACGCCTATCGGTAACTTTTGTTGACACTAGTTCTTAGACAAACAAAGTTTCTTAGTGTTCACGTGTGGCACAATGGTTGCAAGTTTTACCCTAATTTGGGACCCGTTTAATACACAGTAAGAACTTAAGAGTGATAAGAGGATACATTGGTTATGTATTTTTTTTTCTTTATTATCCTACAAATAATTCATTGAGGTATTAACTTGTAAGGGGTAAGAGTCACTTTATGGTCTAGTAACGCACACGGATATAACATGTTTATCGATTTCACTTTTTTATTTTTAATACCCCTGTTTCTTAAAAAATGTAATTGATAGCAATTATAGTTTACCAATTTCTCGTACCAAGTGACCTCATGGAACATAATTAGTCATTTGTCAGCTTTTGTCAATAAAGTCGACTTTGGAACATTGTCTATTTCCTATGATAATCCAACGGGGACCAAATAAACATAGAGAAGATTATACATTTTGTTAATGAATATTGAGCAATTATTACTTTCAATTTCAGCCACTATAGTAATAAATCAAACAGTTTGAAGGTTGATTGTACATAGTTGCCTCAAACATTTAGCTCAAACTCCCAAAGTACTAGAAATACCGCTCCTATAATTAATGAGAATTACAGTGATTTAACACTGCATTAACTCGTGCCGTACATCTTCTATTCTCGAACTATTTAACCAGTCATAAATAATGGAAGGGAAGGCTTAAGATGGATTATATCTAGTGGTGCCTTTGGCTAATGTAACAGTTGTTGCTTCAAAAGTAGTGCAAGATCTAAAATTAAACTGTAAATCTTGACATGTACACTTTTGTATTGGAATTGTGATGAATACGGGGCTAAGTTAGTGTATTTAACTGAATGCCTAATCTATTCTGTATCCATACTAAGATTTACTTAAGTTATATCTAAATGTACAGTGCAGTGCAAATGTGAACCAAGAAACAATGTTAAAGTTTCCTTAAAATCAGTAAACAAAGAAGAATGGAGGCCAAAATTGCAGTAACAAAGCGTTACAATGATGAAAATTAAATCAATTCTATCCTGGCTGGACCCAGCTATTTTAAAACGTTTTTATTAGCTCACTTTCTTGTCCGGTACCAAAATTTGAAATCAATTTTATACTAACTTCCCGACGAGCTAGAGACTTGAAACTTGAAACATATCTCACAAATGGAAGACAATGCAATATTATATAATTTAATTTTCAAATTTCTTTTGGGCTACGCCCCATGGGCTTGTTTTTATTAAATCGCTTTCTTGCAAATTTGTATACTTCCCGATGAGCTAGAGACTTGAAATTTGAAACATAGCTCATAAATGGATGACAATGCAGTATTATCTATAATATTAAAACGAAACAGTGTTTTTTTATTTCACGATTCTGAATCAACCACTCGACGGATTTTCATGATTTTTGTGTTGAAAGAAAGATAATTTTGAGAACTAGGGAATGTCGAAGCCATAATTTTAGTTTAGGGTCCCAGTTTTTTAGAAATTAAGTTTTAATCTTTAAAAAGTCTAGCAGCCGACGCTAAGATTCTAAACTAGCTTTTGACATAAATTAATTTGCTTAACATAACAGCTGTAAAAATTCAGCTTTTGTGTCACAAATTCAGCATTTGGATAAAAATGTAAAGACATACTTAGGGTTGACTTATTTATACTATGTGTAATGCTAATCATTGATACGTTCAATTCTTCTGTAAGAGGATGGCAGATTAATTAAATTTACATAGTAAAATACTAGGATGTTCAAATTACTTTTTAAAGCAATCTTTGTAATCTTCGATTTGTTTTAGAGAAATATAATTTGTTTTAACTAACAGCTGGTTAAATAAAAACTATGGAACTATGAGGTTTTTTTATTTAACTCTTATTTTGTCATTGATTATAGGAAATAAGTAAGATTAGTAGAGATAACTAGACCACAGTTTTAACCAAAATTAATTAAACCACAGTACAAATCGAGGCTCTGTACACGAGTTTTAATAAAAAAGGATAAATGCAAATTATTTTACTGCTACACTTTTCAAGGAAAGATTATAAAAATGACAATGTTTACATGCTTTAATTCTTCATGGTAGCTTTCTGTTTACAATCAATGTTTGTCTGCTTAAACTTTGTTTGGATTAGGTATAGTCCGGAAATATTGATGTCATAAAAAGAAGATCAAGAATAATCAGCAATCACGATTTCAAATTACCACCACAACCTCAGCCAGGGTTTATACAAAGATAAACAGATGGACGACATAGATTGAACACAACGTCAACATCATAGTCATTGACCTAGGATACTGCAATTAGACAAACCATCCTTTTATGAAATCGTGTTCAGTTGTGGTTACGTTTGGGGGTGCCCATATCAGCGCCCCCAAACGTGAAAATATCACTTTTGTTTCAACTGTGAATATATTGTAGTTTAAACTAACTAATATGGGAAATTACGATGTACATTTATTCAATGAGGGTGGGTAATTATCAAGGATAGAACTGATAACGGTATGGATAATAAACATTGACAATTACGTCATTAGCTTTACTAGCGTGTTTACTTTTTATATTCCTTTCCTGCTACATGTGACCAGTTCTTTTTTTTTCAAAAAATGTTATTTGAACCAAACAGCTGTTTCAAAACAAACTGTTATTGTTTTTACTTTTCTTTGTTTACACTTATTTATTTAGCAATTAATGCAGTGAAATTGATATAAAGGATAGGTGTGACGATTTGTTTTGATGTTAGGACACCAAAGTTAAATTATGTGTACTGTGAATTTTATTGGATATTATCGTTTTAAGGTTTTTTTTTATTTACACCTACTGGAA